CTTACAAAGCAGAAAGAGACTCGCAGACTTAGAGAATGAACTTATGGTTGCCGGGGTGGAGGGGGAAGGATGAGGGGAAAGGGATAGTTAGGGAGTTTGGGATGGACACTGTTAATGAATAACCAACAAGGACCTGTTGTATGGCACATGGAACTCTGCTAAATGCTATGTGGCAGCCTGGATGGGAGTGGGGTTTGGAGGAGAATGGGTACATGTGTGTGTATGGCTGAGACCCTTTGCTGTTCGCTTGAAACTATCACAACATTGTTAAGTAGCTACACCTCAATGCAAAATAAAACGTTCAAAAGTTAAAAAAAAAAAAAAGAGTGGATGATAATACAGCAAAGCAAGTGCTGTGATAGTGTCAGTCTGTTACTGAACCAGGTTCATCTTACTCACACAGCAAGACAAAATGCTAGGACACTGTGGTTTGATGCAGAGGGGGGTTATTCATAACGCAGCCATGTGAGGAGACAGAAAAGCAAATCTCAAGTCCGACTCCCCGATGGCAAGGGGCTGGAGTATTTCTGGGATAAAGACTGAAGAAGCAGGATGGTTTGAGGCATGGGGAGTGTGGGGAAAGATGATTGGAAAAAGGTGCCATGATTATCTTTCTGTGCAGGGGTGACTAAGTTACCTGCAAAAGGTTACCACGCAGACACTCATATCTGCCCAGTTGAAGGGTCATTGGTTCCATCCAGTCTTAACCACATCAGCTTGAACTGGACACAGCAAACTCCAAATTCCTAGCCAACAACTTAGGCAAACATCTTGTTGTTCAGGCTACATGCCGCTTAGAGAGCATGCAAGTCTTAAAACGACCTTGATGAGCAAAGGCAGATAAAATGAAATTCAACCCAGGGTTTTGAGTCTGAGGATTAGAAAGTGATAGTCAAGTGTCTTTCCTTCTCAGTCGTGAATCCACTATAGTGAGCAGTTTTGCTCTATGGAGCCTCGGTACAATATTTACAGAATTCACGACAAAATGGGTCTGCCCTCTTCTCCTATCTCTGCCTCCTCTGGGGCTGTTAAGGTCAGGAGACTAAGACTGAAAGTTCAGCTCAGGGCAAGCTGTAAAACTTGACCAAGTTATTTGTCTTTTATGAGTCCATCTTAGCACCAGGAGCTGGTCCCCTTATTTTGTCAGAAAAATTCTGTAGACTTTGTGACTTTTACTCACATGAATGTAGATATTTTATCATCACAATCCATTAAGTACTTTGAGACACTTGTTTTTCTGCTGCCTTACTAGTGGACTAGGTGCCGCTTAGCTACTTGAATGAACTTCACCAACGTCTCGGTTCGAAGGTCAAGGTGTGTTTGTGTGAAACATTAAGATAATATTAGGAAAAAACCTCGATTAAATAACAGGTCAAATAATTGAATCATTTACCTAGATTTAATGTTTAGAGTCTCACATTTTGAAAGAGTAAGGGAAAACATTTTTGGTTAGAAGCTCACAATATGCTGGGATTTTTTTTTCCATTTATGATGAGTCAGATTGAGACTATTATGACAATTCTTATGGGATTTGAGAGTGGTTGAGTCCTCCCTAAATAAACCTGCTGCCCCAAGGGAAGTCACTGATCCAGGAGCACATGATGTTTGATCCATCTATGGGAACCAGTGGTATTAGTCAGGGTAAGCTAAGTTGCTGTAACAAAAACCCAACAAGAATGTGACTTATATACCAGAAAATCTACTGGTTTCCTAAATGACAATTCAAGATACATCTTCCCCGTCATGCGTAGCTGTGCTCCTGGGCATTCAGGAACCCAGGGGGAACACTCAACTCGCAGGATGACGCTGGTCACTGCATTCTAGACATGGAATGAAGGGAAAGAAGGGAATCCAGGCAGGGGCACTAAAGGCCACTTCTGCTGCCGTTTCTTGCCAAGAACACCACCACAGAACCACGCTTAGCTCCAGGGGGCTAGGGAATGTGCTCCGATCATTCACCCAAGAAGAAGGGAAGGGTGGCCTGGGGGACCTGCTGGCTGTCTCCTCCCTACCACGACAGGTCGTCTCCATGACAACAGTCATGATGCAGGTGTCAACTTATTGCTCTCTGGTCCCTGTCCATAATTTCATCATGTGTTTATGATATTATTCAGTTTAATGAATCCCCACATGTGTATCATGTTAACTAAGCTCTGTGACTAAAAGAGTTTTACATGGTTGTCCCAAGAAGACTGACTTAAAAAGAATCTTTCATGGTTTTCCAACTTGGATTGACTTAAACAACACATCCTAACATTTCAAAGTGAAAATGAAAAGTTCCAACCCGAGATGTTGGAGAAGTGTGTATCCCAAGGTAAACCACCTGATGTGTTTTGGGAGCAGTGAGCAATTTCTACGTCCTACCTTTTCCCTAACATTCCAGTGCGGAGCAGAATATAAAATGTGGCTTTGCTTCGAGGCTCTAATTCAGTAACACCACTCGTAAAAAACACAGTTATTTGATTAAAAAGACCCCCCAACCAGGCAACTGTAGGAAGAAAACTTCTAGTTGAACTAAAATAAAACCCATTTGCTAATTTTGGGGTTAAATAAAGCTTTTACATTATTAAAAAAGCCCCATTTCACTATTTTTGTTTTCACAGTTTATACATTATTTTAAATAATAAACAAGATAAAATTAAAGATATTTAACTATTTTGCTATTACTTTCTTATTTTGTTGCTAATAAAATAAAATGGATTTAACTTTTCTGGTAATTATGAGAAGGGGTTGAGGAAAGTTCTGTTGTAAAGCAAAAAAAAAAAACTTACAACTCACTAAAATATGACACAAATGAACCTATCTATGAAATAGAAATAGATTCACAGACATAGAGAACAGCCTTGTGGTTTTTAAGGGGGAGGGAAGGGTTGGGAACTCGGAATTAGATGTAAACTAATATGTATAGGGTGGATAAACAACAAGGTCCTACTGTATGGCACAGGGAACTATATTTTATATCCTGTGATAAACCGCAATGGAAAAGAATATGAAAACAAATAGATACATGTGTAATTGACTTACTTTACTGAACAACTGAAACAAAACACAACATTATAAGTTAACTATGTGCCAATAAAATTTTAAAAATTACAATTCAAATTTTGATTATTTTATATAACAGTGAATCAATCTGTGAAATTAATATTGTCTACCTATTTCAGTCCAAGTATATCTTTTAAGTCCTGGTTAATATTTCCTTGGTCCTCAAAAATTTTGTAAATAAATATCATTAAATTTAATTTTAAATTCACAGAAGAAAGAAAACTAATATAAAGCTGAAGGTACTAGTAAACTTAAGGTAATTGTTACTTTCCAAGAAGAAATATTACTTCCAAAGACCCTCTAGAGTTTAAAAAATATGAAACACTGAAGCGCCTGGGGTCACAGAGTTGGACAGGACTGAGCACTCACACACTCATGCACAAGGCTCTTTTCAGAGATTGTAATTGCTTTTCTTCCTTCTCTCCCTCCCTCCTTCTTTCCATCTTTTCTTTTTCTTTCTTTCTTTCTTCTTCCCTGGTGGCTTAGATGGTAAAGAATCTGCCTGCAATGAGGGAGACCCGGGTTTGACCTCTGGGTTCGGAAGATCCCCTGGAGAAAGGAATGGCAACCCACTCCAGTATTCTTGCCTGGAGAATTCCACAGAAGGAGGCGCCTGGAGAGTACAGTCCATGGGGTCGCAAAGAGTCAGACAGGACTGAGCTACTGAGACACACACACCTTTTTTAAAAGTCTTTATTGAATTTGTTACAATGTTGCTTCTGTTTCATGTTTTGGGATTTTGGTCCTGGAGCATATGGGATCCTAGCTCCCCAACCAGTGATTGAACCTGCACCCTCTGCATTGGAAGGTGAAGTCTTAGCCAGGGAAGTCCCAGTAATTGTCTTTCTTAGAGAATGTCAGAATATTCTTAGAAATTATCAATAACACATACTGGAACTATGACCTGTTTTGGCATGCCTGGATAGTCTTCCATTTGTCAATATTTTTGCTTACTTGCTAATATTTTTTAAATTTTATTTTACTATAAATACATGATGACATGAATTTCTAGAGGGCAAAACATAGTCAACTATTCTGTGAAAATCAGAAGATAGCTCTGATCATTAAATAGGAAAGCAAGATTCAATTTTCTGGGGAAAAAAAAAAAAGTCCAACGTTGAAAACCAAAATCCACTTTTGAGAAAAACACACCTGGTGGCAAAATATCTTATAAAATGACAACTCATATTCAGGACCCAGGGCATCATGGTGAGAGAATTACAGCTAGTGCTGATTGTAAGTCTTGGGAGAGCATTCAGGAGTTCTGAGCATGGGACAGCCTGCTGCTTCCTCTTCAATTATCTGAGTATTGGAGACCCCACCCGGAGACCCAGTGGACTTCTTAAAGGGCTCTGTGGTCAGACAGCTTTAGGAAATTCCCATCTAGGGCCAAGACTGCTTGGCATGAACTTGCCCCCCTCCATCTCAAGTGGCACCTGCCAACTCCCTGGGGAGCTATGAGTCCGGGACCTCAGTTTCACGGTGACATCAGCTTATGAAACTCTAGATGAGAGCACTGCCAAGAAGCGCTTGCTCACCCTGCTTTAACGGTAGTGGGAATCTCCCTGTCCTTTTCAGGGGTAAGCCGAAGAAAGGATTCATAAACGAACCCCAATCCTTCTCACCAACCCCAGCCCACACCTCCCAGCAACTAAACTTGAGAAAGAAAAAAAAAAAACCTGGTTAAAACCACTTCCTATATTTGAGACTAGAGAAGAGAGTGGTACGCACAATTTCCTGGCTGAACAACCCAGGCTAATACTTATACAGATCAAGCATTGACTGCCCTAGAGGTTGACAGACCAGCAAGGATGACAACCTGAGCGGACTCACCCTTCATTCCCCAGCCTCCTGGTGTGATGCCAACAAGAGGCTGAAAGGAAACCCGGCATTCAGCAGAGCAGCACTTTCTCTTCCTGGCCCCTGCGTCGGCAGTGGTCCCAGGGGCCAGGAGGATGGAGCCAAGCTTGCTGATGTGGAGGTTCTTCGTATTCATCATGGTACCTGGCTGCGTGACAGGTAAGGGGTCGCTGGTGACTTTGGAGTCCTGGGAAGGCTAAGGATGTAGACTCTTCCCAATCACATAATCCGAGGGGCATCTAAGTGGAAAGTACAGGGAGGGGACGGGATCCTGGGTTCTGCCCCTGTGTCTATGGCCCACCGGGGCCCCATTCTTTGCCTCTATCATTACCGACTTATAAAGACAACTCGGAATGGGGAGTTCTTGTCACTCAAGGTCTTTGACAGCTGATTCTGGGAAGAACATAGTGGTATGATATTTGACTGTTAACCGGCTACTAATGAGCAGATTCCTCAAGAGATTTTATTTTCCAATAAATTTAGTTTTCCACTGCATCCACTGGCTGTAAGGATAATACTAAAAATCTGCTAGAAATCTCTCTATGACCAGGCGAATGTGCCTCAGATGTCAGTGACTCATATATGAAGCACTGGGATCATTTGGTATCTCAGAAAAGTTAACCTTCAAGGATGTGTACTTTATGTTTTACTGCCTAGGGAAATGATACCTAGGAAGCCACTTATATGTGCAACTTTATAGAAATTTTTTTAAAAAAATATAAGCATATCACTTTGAGAACATTAATTCTTCTTGTCTTCTTATGTGTCTACATGCATGTATATATATGTGTGTATGTGTACATATATGAAAGTTTTGCATTTCATTCATCCTTTCAGAAGGATATTGTCAGTTTCTGGTTGGTTTTTTTTTTTTTTTAAGAAATAAGAAACCACCAATTTCAGCCTCAAACCTCCTTCCTAATAGCACGTGAATTTTCTAATAATGTCCTCCCTTGCTTATGCAGGAAAACATATCAGTATCTATAATTTCATATCCTTCATTTCTAGACAGATAATAATGCTAAGTGTCCACAGAAAGATGTGTTAAGAAGTGAGACACAATGATGCATACGGGGTCTTTTTGGCCTGTTGAGGGGAAGTGATCAGTCTCTGGGCTATGAACTGACCCAGGGGTAGGATCTTCTTTAAAATGAAAAGTGGGCATGACTTTAGGAAGACTTATAATGTGACTTCTGTCTCTGCCGGGTCTTTGCACAGTGAGAGGCAGGCCAAGGGAACAGAGAAGTCTTACAGTTGACTGGCCTCATCTCTTGGGAGCACATTTCGAGTAAGTGCGCGCTACTGCCAGGAGTTGGTGACTTATCTGAGGATGAGATTGGCCTGATAGCAGTGCTCTTTCATACACTCACATCTTCAAAAATCTATCCAATGCCTCTTGTTTCCCTTTTCAACAGCATAGGAAACACAAATGTGAACAAAACGTAGCCTCACCTTAAAAGGGGTATCACCTGGTGAGGGAAAGAGAGTTATGACAGCAATATGGGTGGGATGGGATAAGAGCTACGGGAGCAGGGGGTTATATGGGAAGGCTTCACAAAGGCGGCAGCACAAGGAGCCCTGAGGGGTCAGTAAATTTCCCTCCACAGGGATTCCAGACAGAGAGGACCACATGCACAGAGACGGGGCAGAGCCCCAGGAAAAGCCCCCAGCCTCGGGTGGAGATATGGGGCTACTGGGTGTTAAAACTGGATGACCCCAAGTTGAGGATTTTAAATTTCATTTGGGAGTCAATCAAAGACCATGAGAAAGTAAAATTTACCATTTATAGGGCACCTTACGGGGGAGTGCTTCCCAGGTGAAGCAGTGGTAAAGAATCAATCTGTCAATGCAGGAAACATAAGAGACGGTGAGTTCAGTCCCTGGGTCGGAAAGATCCCCAGAGGAGGAAATGGCAACCCACTCCAGAATTCTTGTCTGGAGAATCTCATGGACAGAGGAGCCTGGCGGGCTACAGTCCATGGGGTCCCAAAGAATTGGACACGGCTGAGCGACTGAGCACAAAGTACGTTGTATAGGCCAGACACATGTCTTCCTTCCTCCTTCATAGTCCCTCTGCAAAGTGGATGTCACCAACCCCCTGAGACGAAGAAGACCCCTAGACTAGAGGCCATGAGGCAGTGACACAGCCGGCCGGGACTCAGACCCGATTCTTTCTGCTGAGTGCTTTTTCTGCTCACTGTGGACAGGGCCCAAGCTCTCTGGAGGTGACTCCATAGAGAAAGGAGGTGGGCAGACAGCGCATGAAATGGCCTTTTCCAGAGACCAGTAAGGACTAAGAGAATGACAAGGGCTGAATTTCTGGGATCCACACGTGGCTTAGGAACCTCTCCAGGGTCAGAAATAATCTCCTCTCAGACTTTTTCCTCCCAGAGGAGCCCAGTCTTAAAATAAACAAATCTTATTCCTAGGAAGGGAGAGGTCACTAACAAAATCAATCAGACTGTCAACAGAAGCAATTTCTAGCTGATTCATAAGGCTGATTTTCATTCTGAAAATTTCCAAAGCCACCATTTAAAACTGTGAGGGCTGACAGGGAGTGTGTTGGTCAACGTGGGTGTTTTTAGTCTCTGTATTACTGGGTCCTGGGATGTGGTTGAAAAGAGAATTCTCCTGATGTTGCCAACAGGCACGTTATTGATGGTGCCTTTCTCAGCATTGTGGAAATTCTGAGAGTTTATCTGTGCCTTCATCATCTGTCTTTCATTCTAGGAATTCTGTAATCAAATCTGCATGCCCTAGACTCAAAAACACACACACAGTGTGGAAACCCATGAAGATGATATTTTCGTCTAATTATCCCTTCTTGTAAAGATGACTGCCCACACTGGAATTTCCATCTTCACATTTGTCATTAAAACACAAACACTTAACCCTTCACATTCAATCATTCAGTTTCTCTAGATCCCAAAGTGTTATTACCATATGTTCCTTATCTTTAAGATATGCTTTAGAGCAGTTAGTGTATATAGATAGATAGATCATAACCCTGTGTGTGTGTGTGTGTGTGTGTGTGTGTGTGTGTATATATATACATAGATATAGATATAGATACATATAGATATATATGGATTTGGTAAACTTAGGGAGTACCTCATAAAACAGTTGCTAGTTTCTTTAAAAACAGCATTTCTGAAATAGGCAGTGCTGTTTATCAGCTGTGCATCTGCTCCTTTTGAGATCGGAGAGCATCGAGGCACCAGAAAGAGCTGGCTTCGCTGACGGTCAGCTGCTATAAAGAACGGCTGATGGGCAAAGAGAAGAGTTCTTAGTTTCTTTGAGCAAAGCCTTGAGTGGTCTAGAGGCACCTGTATCACCTCTTGCTGAGGTCATTCTCATCAGAGCGATAGTCACCCTCAAGTCAGGCTAGCCCTCAACCCCAGCCCTCACTCATTCCCTGCCCCCCTCACCGACTGATGACCAGTAGAAACCTGAAAAAGAAACAGGAGTTCCTTTGGGAAGTGGGGCCATATCCCTCGAGGTCAGGGCAGAGAAATGTTAGGAGGAAGCTGAATTTTGCGGGGGGGTGAAGGGCGTGATTTGGGGGCAAATTGCTGGATCTCCATGGGCCTCAGTTTCTCTGTAAAATGAGAAGGTTGATGGGGCTGATCCTGAGGCTGCCTTCTGGTTCTCTCGCTCTATGTCAAGAATTCTGAACAGGAAATAAAATAAGCTCTGTCAAAAGGCCTTTGCAAGCTGGGGTACTTTCAGATGAAAAAGTTTCCAAACCTAAGACATATACAGCAGGGTCCGGGTTGAGAGGCCTTCAGAGGCCCAAGTGCCAAGGCTGACGTGTCATCACGGTTATTTCCAGCCTCTGGGAGGTTCCGCCCTGCACTCAGGCCAGGACCACGGCTTCAGGGAGGGTGACGGCTGTAATACCGCTCCCTGCCGGGGAGGCTTCTGCTTTTTGCTCTTGGGGCCTTTTTGCCCTCAGTTGATCTCCTTGCTTCTCGTAGGGGTGGGCTTATGTGAGTGGAAACCTATTTCTCTTCTCTTCATCCCAGGCCATTCCCTGGGAGGAGAGGAAAGAGGATCTTCATTCAGTCAATTGCTTCGAAAAGCTATAAGCCCTGCATTCTTGAAAGTGGTTAAATTGAGGCTTTCTAAACTTCGGGTGAGCCTCAGAGGGGCACGTGCACTAGCCAGGAAGACAGTCAGGGCAGAAGTTTTGTTCTTCTCTGCTCCCCTCCAGTCTCTGTTTCTGTTAATACTGATTTTTATTTATGTATTCAGCTGCACCGGGTCTTAGTTGCCGCACGTGGGCTCTTTGATCTGTGCTGAGGCCTGTGGCGTCTTTAGTTGTGGCCTGTGAAGTCTTAGCTGCAGCATGTGAGATGGTTACCTGCGGCACGTGGGAGCTTAGTCCCTGACCTGGGAGGGAACCTGGGCCCCCAGTGTGGGGAGCATGCAGTCGTAGCTACTGGACTACCAGGGAAGTCCCTCCAATCCCTGTTTTTTAACTTCCCCTCTGAGAAAATGAACATATGCACATGTGATGACATTCGTATTTTTCTCAAGTAAGGGTACCCAACTGCGTACCCATGGGTCCTTGGCCTTCTGAGCGATTCTTGACTTTCGTTCCTCGTCTGCTCCCTGCCCCAGACTTTGGGTGGCAGCGAGAAACAGAGAAGGAAGGAGACTTGAGTAGGAAGCGAGCGGAGGCCTGGGGGGGAGGTTGGCACTGAGGAGGCAAAACCTGGGCCGGGGGTTTACTCATGTCTGGTGAGCGTCCAGGAGCTCAACAGTCAGAGGAAAGGGCCCCTCCACCCTTCCTCCCCAGAGAGGCCTGGACGCCCTTCCTCGAGAGGTATCTGAGCAGAGCCTAGAAGAACATTGGTCAAGCGGTGTGAGGAGCCGGGCAGGGCGGGCTGGAGGGACGGCCTCTGAGCACTTTGGACTCAGGACCTAGGATTCCTGTCTCCAGGCTAACAGTGTGCGTCACTGCAGCCCAGCCGCGCCCTCTGAAGTTACAGTGTTGTTAGCTGCTCAGTCGTGTCTGACTCTATGTGACCCCGGGGACTGCAGTCCACCAGGCTCCTCTGTCCATGGGATTCTCCAGGCAAAAACACTGGAGTGGGTTGCCATGCCCTCCTCCAGGGGATCTTCCTGACTCAGGGATCAAACCCACATTTCCTGCA